CATTTCACCCAGGGTCTTCTTTCAGCACTATCCCTCCACCCTCCCAAGCATTATGCCTTTCTCTAAGGACTGGTCCCTCCTGGCCACATGCCCAATGTTTGTGAGACAGAGCTTCAGAATCCTCACCTCTAAGGAGCAACTGGGTTTCATCCTCTCCAAGACAGACCTGTTTGTATTCATAATGATTCACATATGATCAACACTCTTCTCCAACAACACAACTCAAAGGTATCACTTCTTCTATCATCCTTAGTCATTGTCCTGTTCTTGGATGTAAAGCAAGCAATTATGAAGAACATGGCACACCTTAGTCTCTGACTGACATCATTGCTTTTTAGGACTTTGTAGAGGTCTCTGACCACAGACTTCCCAATGCAATTTGTCTTTTGATTTCCTGACTTCTGGTGCCAAGAGTACTGATTGTGGAGCTGAGCAAGCGGAAATTAACTTCAGTCTCTTGGTGTCAATTGGCCCAGTGATGAAAATCTTTGTCTTCTTGACTTTGAGGTTCAATTCATATTGCAGACTACAGTCTTTGTCTATTTGTGTATGTATATATAAGTATGTATGCATTTATATGTAATTTGGAAGTAGGAGTGGCATCCACTTCCTAAACAACTTGCCTCAGGAAACTCTATGAACTTTGATAAATGTCGATAGTTGTTGAGGGGCGTCAGGCCTTTTGTTCACAGGGTCATTATGAGTCATGCTCAACTCAAAGGCAATCAACAACAACAACAACATATATAAACTACACTCATATGGTTTACATATCAGGTGCACCTGATACAGTACTTGGTCTTTGCAATCACTTGCTATGTGTCAGAGAGCTAGACAATGACTAGGGATGACAGGAGGAGAATTGATGCCTTTGAGCAATGGTATTGGAAAAGAGTATTGAATAAACCATGGACTGCTAAGAAAACAAACAGGTTCATCCTAGAGAGGGTTAAACTAGACTTCTCCTTGGAGGCAAGGATTCTGAAGCTTCATCTGACATACTTTGGACATGTTGCAAGGAGGGACCAGTCCTTGGAGAGTGACATCATGCTTGGGAGGGTGAAGGGACAGTACAGGAGGAGAAGACTCTCTATGAGGTTGATTGATTCAGTGACTGGGGTAATCTGGGTAGATGTCAGAGACAGTGAGATTGGCACAGCATAGAGCAGGGTTTAGGGCTGTTGTACATGGGGTCACTATAAGTCGCAGGAGACTTGACAGCACATAAAAACATCATTGAACAAGTGTGTGTATATAGAGGGTGTTTATTATCATCAATAGGAAACTGGTGGCTTAGTGGTAAGGAGTTGTATTGCCAACCAAAAAGCACACAGTTTGAGTCCACTAGCTGCTCATGGGAGAAAGATAAGTGTTCTCCTTCCATGTGATTAACTACCTTTGAAAACCTACTGGAGGGGTCAGGTATGAATCATATCGGTACATATTACCAACAACATCACTGTCAATAGGTTCCACTCTTTCCCTGGCATTTGGAAAGCTTCATATGGGATTCTGGAAGACTTAGTTGAGGACAAGAGGAAGCCCAAGAGAAAGAATGGACACAAGAACCATTAGACTCCTCTCCTGCTTAGATACCTCCTGCCACACACTGTGGGTGAGCACAGACTTTCCTCTCCTCCTTCTCTAAACACCTGCTAAGGCCTGAGACACCAGGAGTCCTTAAGAACAGGTTCCTGCTGCCCTTTCTTGACTGTGGAAGCCACGCACTGTACCTGGGCCTATGGAGTAACGAAAGGATCTGGGGCTGGAATCAAGGTCAGTACACGTCAGCTTGAAATTTTGAATATTTGTGCCAACTCTCAGATCCACCGGGATGGCCAGGAAAGAAGAGTTCGGGGTACACATTGGCTTTTCATCGTTTTCGTCAAGGATTTTCACAGTGACCTAGAGGAGTAACAAGGTGGTCATTCTGAATAGCTAACACCTAGCAAGAGCTTACTGTATGCTGGGCCCAGGATTGAGCACGTATCTGTGGATTGGCTCATCTAACTTCCTCTGAGATAAGTAAAGGGGGTGAGCCAATTTTACAGAAAAGGGGAGGCCTAGAGAAGTTAGACAATTGACCTAAAACCATACAGTTGGTGTGTTGGGGATTGAACTCATGTCTGACCAACTTGAAATTCTTTGTCATTCATGTCTGTACTCTCTGTGTATGCATGGTGTGTGAATATACATCATATACCTATCTGCAAACACACCTACTGCCTCAGCTCATCCCCGACTGGCACTGAGCTTTCTCTCCAGTGATAGTCATGGACTGATGGTGAACCATTATGCTTTTTTTCTCTCTCACTGCTCCCTGCAAATTGGGGGTTTAGGTTTTAACTTTGGGATACAGCACAATGGTTCTCCATGTGGCTCTCCATTCCTGGACCCTTTTCCAGTAAAATGCATTAGACTCTCTGGAGGTGGGGCCAAGCACCATTATTTCATTTTTTATGCTTCCCGGATGATTCTACTATGCAGCCAGGGCTGATACCCACCGGGACAGGACCATTGTATCTGGCTAAGGCAGGTTCTTAGCTGTAACCTGGGCATTTAGCACCAGGGATGCTCAGCAGCCGCAGGTAGGGACCAGCACTTCTTGTTCGCAGCTGTCTTTTCTCAGCTGGGTGGATTGGAATACAGATTGGGATGGCTGCCAGCACAGAATCACTGACTGCCAGCCCTGAACGGGACTCATGTGGTCATTTAGTTCATTGTCCCTTTTAAAGCTTATGAATTTTGAGTCATATTCATTCTACCTTGATAGTTGGAGATTTTGGCTATTTCTGAGCTCAGGAATAAATTGAAATGTTCACTCCAGTTAGCTCCTAAAGTGGAGTGCATTCATTTCACTCTCAAAAAAATAAGCCCAAAAGCCTCCCCAAACTAACTGCCGTTCTCTGTAACGTACCACACCCACCTCTCAGCTTGCCAAGCCCATCTCACCCATCATGAAAATCACTAATTCAAAAGCAAGTCATCAGAAGAACTGGACACTTTGGGCACCGGGTAATCAGCTGGATAGTCACTTAAAAGATAGAGAAATTGGAACATGGAGATAAACACTGCTCAGGCTCCTGGGAAAAGTGGGATCAAAGTTGAGACATGAACTCCATCTCCTGACTGGGAACCAGTTACTCTCTATGTGGCTTCCTGCTGAGACTCTGTTTTTAACTCCACACCTTTTCTCTTTACTAATGGGAAACACCAAGCCATTGTTCTATGTGGGTGTCACATTGCCCTCCATTGATCATAATGACTGACAGCATTGATCCGCAAAACCTGGACCACTCTCAGTGCAGATGTGCATCAGCGGCATCACCACCACACAGGGAGTGTGTTAGAATGCAGAACTCCAGGCCTCAGACCTTGGACCAAAATTTACACTTAAGAAGATTCTCAACGTCAAAGGGAAGCCATACAGCACTATGTTGGTTGTCATCTGTTGTTGGCCCCCAATTCATGGTGACCCCCCGCACAATGGAAACAATGCCCGGCTTTGTGCCATCCTTGGTGGGTTGCGGATTGGACCATGATGCACCAGGCTTTCAATGGCTGAGTTTCAGAAGCAGAGCCCCAGCACTATCCTCTCTGTGTTGGTTGTAAAGCTCACCTGAAAGCTGTTCCACATTAGCAACACACAAGCCTCCGCTGCCACACAGGTGGTAGCTGTACATAAGGGGCATTGGCTAACAACTGAACTCAGGTATCTGCTATGGAAGTTGAGCATTCTACCATTAAGCCACTGCTGTCCCATATTGTTACTTGTTGTTAGATGAGTACAGGTTAGGTTATCAGAGTACAACTCATAGAGACCCTGTGGACAGCCAATCTGAACCCTGCTCTATCCTGAGCCATCCTCATCATCTCTAACATACTAGAGTCTGTTGCTGAAGCCACCATGTCATCTATCTTGTTGGGAGTCTTCCTCTCCTTTGCTGAAAACTCCATCTTTCCAAGCATGTTCTTTTTCAAGGAATAGCCTCACCTAGTTAAAAAAGTATGAAAGACGAAGCTTTTCCATCTTTGCCTCCAAGGAGCACTCTGGCTGCACCTTCTCCAAAACACATGAGTTTGTTCTATTGGCAGTTTAGGGATATTCAGTACTGTTTTCTCTCACCACAATTCAGAAGCATCAATTCTTCTTTTGTCCTCTTTATCCATTCTCCAGCTCTCTGACACATAGCAGGTGATTGAGAAAACTATGGCCTGAATCAGGTGCACCTTAGTCTTCAAACTGACATCATTACCCTTCAACATTTTGGAGAGGTCCCTGACAGTGGACTTGCCCAATGCAATACATCTCCTAATTTCCAGATTGCAGGTAACAAGGGTGTTGATTGTTGATATAAGCAAGATACAATCATTGACAGCTTCAATCCTTTTTCCATAATGATAGAACTGCCACCTAGGGCTATGTTAAATCACATCATCTTTTTTTTTTTT